GTCTCCAAGTCAAGTGATCGCCGACAAGCAAGCCACCCATCATGGAGAGAATAGTGAGCCACCCAAAAGGGAATGAGAGCCACAAGCCCAAATTGAGTGCCTCCACGATGAGCGACAAGAAAAACTTAGTGCTATTTGCCACCAAAAGTGAGATGAGAGAAGTGTGTGAGAACCCATCAAGTGTTATGCACTATGTCCTCTTGTGCAAGGGAGGCACCTAAAACTAACACCTCACACGATCTACCTTTAGTGTTGTCTTCTCTATTGCAGGAGTTCCAAGATGTATTCCCCGACGAGCTACCTCCGAGACTACCTCCTCTTCGACGCATCGAACACCGCATCGACCTCATCCCCGGAGCACCCCTTCCTATCCCTACCGCGTCAACCCCAAGGAAACCAAGGAGATCCAACGGCAAGTACAACAACTCATCGACAATGGCCATGTAAGAGAAAGCTTGAGCCATGTGCCATACCAGTAATCCTTGTCCCTAAGAAAGATGGCATCTACCGCATGTGTTTCGATTGTCGTCCCATCAATGGTATCACCATTAGATATCGTCACCCCATTCCACGCTTAGATGATATGCTAGATGAGCTTAGCGGGGCCACAATCTTCTCTAAGATTGGTCTTAAAAGTGGCTATTACCAAATCCACATACAAGGTGACGAATGGAAAACCGCATTTAAGACCAAATTTTGCTTATGAATGGCTTGTTATGCCAATGGGTTTATCCGAAGCACCCGGTACTTTCATGCGAGTCATGCATTTTGTTCTTCGCCCCTACATTGGCATATTTGTTGTGGTTTATTTTAACGATATTCTTGTCTTTAGCAAATCCCTCAAAGATCATGTCACCCATCTTAGAACCGTTTTGCAAACCCTTAGGAAAGAGCGCCTTTATGCTAATATGGACAAATGCCTTTTCGGTGTTGATAAGCTTGTTTTCTTGGGTTTTGTAGTATCTTCTAAGGGTGTGCATGTAGATGAAGCTAAGATCAATGCTATTAAAACTTGGCCCCAACCCACAAACTTGCAACAAGTGCGTAGTTTTCTTGGCCTAGCCGGATTTTATCGTAGATTTGTGAAGGATTTTAGCAGCCTTGCTTTACCTTTACATGCTTTGAGTAAGAAAAACGCGCCCTTTGTGTGGGGACCATCCCAAGACACCGCATTTAATGAGCTTAAGAATTTGCTTACACATGCCCCTTTGCTTGCATTACCCAACTTTGATAAACCGTTTAAGATACATTGCGATGCTAGCGGTTATGGCATAGGAGGCGTGTTAATGCAAGAGAAGCGCCCCATAGCTTACTTTAGTGAGAAACTCTCCGGAGCGCAACTCAATTACCCTATCTATGTCAAAGAGCTATATGCTTTAGTTCGAGTATTGCATGTTTGGGAGCATTATCTCCGTCCTCATGAGTTCATTCTCCACACCGATCACGAAACACTCAAGTATCTTAAGGGCTCTGTTTTCGAGTCGAGCGACTAGTCGCGACTAGTCGACGAGTCGCAAGAGCAGGAGCGACTCGGGCTGGCGACTCGACTCCTCGCATGAGTCGAGCGACTCGAGCGACTAGTCTCGACTAGTCACAACTAGTCGCCATAAGTGAGTCGAGCGACTCGAGCGACTAGTCTCGACTAGTCACGACTAGTCGCCATAAGTGAGTCGAACGACTCAGTTATTTTGGGCCCCCAACAGTTTTTTGTCTTTTAACAGTATTTGCTTGGCCCATCAGCCCATCCCAGACCAAGAAATATATAGATCGATCCATCCCCCCCTCACCCTGACCTAACCCTCTCCCTGGCGGCTGCCTTCCCTCCTACCCTGCCTTCCTTCCTCCTTTGGTTGCTGCTGCTGCTGTGCTCCTCCACTCCTCCCCTGGTTAATGTTGCTGCTCTTGTGCTCCTCCACTCCTCCCCTGATTGCTGCTGCTGCTGTGTGCTCCTCCCCTGGTAAGTACTGTTTCTGCTAGTTAGCTTAGGGCTTGATTTGGTGAGAAAAACAACTAAGTGGAGTTATCTTTCCTTCTATCATAGATTCACACCAAGCACCATGTCCTCCCAGCCAAAGATATCCCAAGTTGTTCGATCAGCTCAAGCTAATAGAATCAATTCTATGACAATCAATAACATTTTCATAATTTATACTGAACTCATTTTGCAGCATCCATGTCTTCCGGTGACTATTTAATGGAGAAAGAACTACAATGATATAACGTGATTGTGATATACTCCCTCCGTTCCAAATTACTCGTCGTGGTTTTAGTTCAAATTTGAACTAAAACAACAACAACAACAACAACAACAACAAAGCCTTTAGTCCCAAACAAGTTGGGGTAGGCTAGAGGTGAAACCCATAAGATCTCGCAACCAACTCATGGCTCTGGCATATGGATAGCAAGCTTCCACGCACCCCTGTCCATAGCTAGCTCTTTGTCGATACTCCAATCTTTCAGGTCTCTCTTAACGGACTCCTCCCATGTCAAATTTGGTCGACCCCGCCCTCTCTTGACATTCTCCGCACGCTTTAGCCGTCCGCTATGCACTGGAGCTTCTGGAGGCCTTCGCTGAATATGCCCAAACCATCTCAGACGATGTTGGACAAGCTTCTCCTCAATTGGTGCTACCCCAACTCTATCTCGTATATCATCATTCCGGACTCGATCCTTCCTCGTGTGGCCACACATCCATCTCAACATACGCATCTCCGCTATACCTAATTGTTGAACATGTCGCCTCCTTAGACTAAGCTCGAGGAAATTAATATGGACCAGCAAACTTACAAAAGCAGAATATAACATAATTATATTGCAGAGTGTACTAACATAATTATATTCTGGATTAAACTAATAGCACAACAATTTACAGGGTTATAATGCAATGCACATATATATCTTAGTGGCGCAAAAACTATTTAGCCAACTTCACTAACAATGTAGAAATTGGCTTCAGTGTACTAACATAGTTATTTTGGATATAAGCAATCAGCCACAAATTTGAACTAAAACCATGACAAGTAATTTGGAAGGAAGGGAGTAGTATGAATACATGACAGCGACAAAGCATAGACACATTGGCCCACTTTTACCAGCCCGGTCTAGACAATAAGAAAGGATAGCTACATCAAAGTGTATGAAGCTCGGTTTTTTGGAAATGCAGCTGATCCAGATTATCAATTGTGAGCTAAAAAGCACGGACACGCCAGGAATCGCCGAATTGCCGTCCTGATACGGCGGGATACGGGGATACGGCGGGATACGCGAATTTTGGAGTATCCCCGAAATTCGAATTAAAAAAAAAAGAAAAAATGACTGGGATACGCCGGGATACGTTAGGGATACGGCCTGGCCCAAAAACACACCCCCGGCCCAGCCACGGCCCAATATGTAACCCTATTTTGCAGGGTCTCCAGCGTGCCATACGAGCTGCTCCCTGCCTCCCAGCTCGAACAGAAGGAGCCGCCACCTTCTGGATCGAAGTTCCTACCACCTGGACTCGCCGCCGCCGGCGCTGGCGACTCCTGGATTCGACGGCGACTCCTCCATCCAGCACCAGCACCAGCAGTCTCTCTCTCTCCTCGCCTCCTCGGCTCCTCGCAGCTGTAGCCTGTAGGTAACCCAGCAGCTTCTCCATTCTTCAACCTCTTCCTCTTTTATTCTTCAGATTCAGATTTTGTTCCATTATTAAGGGATTAAGCTACTGGGTCTGGATGCTTGCTAGCTTGTTGTTGACTTGTTGTTGCTACCTCTCTGCTTGTGCTGCTGCTGTTTGTTATGCTGTTGCTGCTCGCTTGTGCTGCTTGGGCTGATGCTGCTGCTGCTAGCCTGCTAGTGCTATTGCCTATTTCTGAATTTAACAGCTTTTGTTGCTGCACACTTGTTGATAGGTAGCAACTAGCAAGTGGCATGGCATCTGGGAGCGCCACAACTGGTAGCCAATTTGTGTTTGATGTGTTTTGCAAGATGCGACTTACAATGAGATGGGGGGACGAGGATAGATCAAGCACTTGATAAAAGAGACACCAAATGGGGCAGTACTCTAGTCTATTCTTTATTTTGATCTATTTCTCTTTAATTTTCTGTCTTAACTCTATATTACATGGCATATTTTTATTTTATTTTATATATACTCGCCGTATCCCCGAATGGCTGTTTTTGGAAAATCCCGTATCCCGTATCCCCGTATCCGTATCCCCGTCTTTCCTTCCCCGTGTCCGTGCTTTTTAGATTTGTGAGTACTAACTAGGGACTCCCCTAGACTTCATAACAAATTGAAAAAATAAAATATTGATCTGGTACCTTGACCAGCAGGTCATCTTGACTAAAGATACTTGAGAAACAAATTGGCGGGATGCACCAAGTGTTGCTTCTGTGGCAATGAAGAGTCGATTCAGCATCTATTTCTTCATTGCCCACTTGGCACTTGCTAAGTTACTATGGCAATCGGTCCATATAGCCTTTTTCTTTGCTTTCTGAGCAGCCGTATTTCTTCATTGCCCACTTGGCACTTGCTAAGTTACTATGTCAACCACTTCTTCTTTGCTTTTTGTGCAGCCATATGTGACATTTTATGTAAGTTGATCTTGTTTGACCTCCGATGACAATAATTAATAAAAAGGTTGTGTGCATCACTCAATGCAGAGGTCAAGGGAATCCCCCTCTTTTCAAAGAAAAATTAGACTTCATAACACATTTTCCACAACACAATTGCTAAGGGTCTAGAGCAATCCATCACATCCTGCATGAGTGCACAACTAAACACTGTGAGTTACAGCACTCTTACCCCTCCGCGATGGTTCTACGCCCCAATCTCGTCACTACTACCCAGTTCAGGCACTATCATTGTACTACTAATCTAAAAAATACGCAGTACGAGTTGAAAGTAGCAGGATAGTATCTGCAACTTTAACAAACTAGCACTCTTAACGCACGAGCTGGAAACCTAAACAACGGCAAGCATGGTGCAGGAGCAAGTATAGTAAGGTTGGAGGAGTTACCATAGGGGAGAAGAGCGAAGGGGGGCCGACGAGAGCGGTGGGGCTGAGCCCCGGTGGCACGGCGAACGGTGAGGGAGGGAAAGGGGGTGCGGCTGGGGAGCCCATGGCGCCGACAAGGAGCTGGGTGAAGGAGCCGTGGAAGGCCGAGGAGGGCATGTCCGGGAAGAGCGCGGCGGCGAGGGTGACCGGGCCGGGGCTGGTCTCGGCAAAGGACGCGGCGGTGGCGCCAGAGCCGAAGAAGGATTCGACGGCGGAGCGCGGGGGTAGCGAGAGCGCGGGGCGCGGAGGAGTGCAGCGCGCGCCCTCGCCGCCGCCGGCAGAGGCCTCGTGTGCCGCCATGAGAAAGGAGAGATGGTGGGCGGAGCACTTGCGGAGGGGTCTTTTTGCGGGGTTTGTGGGGAACCAAAGATACGGCGAGTCCACGGCTTTAGGGGAGACACCTCTTTTCATTTTTCAGAAGGGAAGAACAACCTCTTGATCGTCTCTCTTTTTTCTTTTCTTTTTTACAGTACAACCCCTTTTTTAGACGAAACAACATTTTTCGCAGATACGCTTGAGAGCGTATTATTACGTTGATAGAGGAAAGCAAATGGACGCTGATCTGCGCCGGCGCACCGGCCCAAATTTGGGCCGGTCGCATCTGCGCCGTACGATGCAAGGCATCTCATCCGCCAGATCAACTTCCCTGCTTCGTTCCCCCACCCATCGTTCCAAGCGAGCAGGAGAAAAATTCCCCTCGCCCCATCAAATCGACCCGCCATGCCCCACCTGCCCCGCACCACGCAGGTCGCCGCCCCCGCCGT